TTTATTTCTGTGCATCAGATCAATCTGCTGGGTGGCCTCATGTAGCAGGTGCCTGTGGGTCAGCCGTACAGACGCCCTGATCACTCAGGCTGGGTGCTCCGGAAGGCTCTGTGGGCTCTGTGAGCTCCCACTGTCGTTGTCTGGGTAGCTGTCTGACTGCCCGTGGACGGGGTCGGCCTTCAGCCTGGCCCACGATGAGGCTCGGCCCCCACCACCGTGTATGAGACGCTGTGCAAGAGCTAACCACACAAAGCAAATTCACCGCAGGATCTGGTGCGTGGCCTGTGGAGCTAACCGTCTCCCTACACGGTTTTTAACTTAAGTTTCAAGCAACGTTATTTGGTTTGATTGTTTTACTTAGTCATTGATTAAGTGATGCATATGATGATAATTAAAACATGTTAGCCGAAACCGGTTTGGCTCAATGGATAGAGCATTGGTCTGGGGACTAAAGGGTCCCAGGTTCGATTCCGGTCAAGGACATGTACATTGGTTGCAGGCACATCCCCGATAGGGGGTGTGCAGGAGGCAGCTGGTTGATGTTTCTCTCTCACTGATGTTTCTAGCTCTCTATCCTCTCCTTTCCTCTCTGTAAAAAAAAATTAATAAAATATATTTAAAAAAATAAAAATAAAATAAAAACAGTATAAACCTAAAATTCTGCCAGGATGATGCTCTACTTCAGAAGTGGGTAAACCACAGCCTATAGTTTTGTATACCTGCAAGCTAAGAATGGCTTTTACATTAAAAAAAAAAAAAAAACTTTTATTGATTTCAGAAAGGAAAAGAGAGGGAGAGATAGAACCACCAATGATGAGAGAGAATCATTGATCGGCTGTCTCCTGCACACCCCACACTGGGGATCGAGCCTGGAACCCCGGCACATGCCCTTGGCCAAAATCAAACCCAGGACCTTCAGTCCACAGGCTTTTTCCACTGAGCCAAACCGGCTAGGGTGGCTTTTACATTTTTAAAGTGTTGTAAAACAACAACCAAGAATATGGGACTGTGTATGTGGACAGCAGTGCCTAAAATATTTACTATCTGTCTCCTGACAGGAAATGTCCCACCTCCTGATCTACTTCCTAATGGAATTTTGAGTGTCTCGCTAAACCAATGCCTTCATACTTCTAAATTTGTATTTAAGGGAACTTATATGATTTCTCTCTCCACTCCCGTCTAGTACTTTCTTTACTAGTCACTCTCTTCACATACAAGTGTTTACACAGATATTACACAATATTCTGGGTTAGTTAAAACACACACACACAGACACACTCACTCACTATTTAATAACAAGCATTGTAGCACAAGTATTTTTCCAACCAGTTTAAGTTCCACATGGTTTCACAAACTGAGCCTATGAATGAATTAGTGAATTGGGCTTATGTTGCCAGAACCTCTGAGCATGCCAACTCCTCCATCTGCATACACCCAATATGCAAGAGGGCAGGAGACAGAAGATTGTCCGTCTAAATCAATAAGCTGCTTAGCAACAGGCTGGATAATATTCATCTCACTTCAATGACAGGGAAAATACACGTATGAGATGGTGACAGAACTAAACTCAATAAATATGTGACACCTATGGATCTGACAGTAAGTTCTTACCACTTTGACCACCTGAAGTCACATTAAAGACTTTCAACAATAAATATAGTGAAAAAAGAGAGCATCTTTGCTCAAAATGTCAAAAGCAAAGGAGACTATGTGACCTAACAACACTGAGAAATATTCAGAGATTCTGGAACAGCTGAACCTATCACACGTCAGAAAGGAGGACATTTCCACTCCAGCACCAGCAACGATATGCGACCGAGCTCAGAGGCACAGCCACCTTCCCGGAGGAGCAGCCTGCTCTCCCCCAACTGACAGCACCTAACATTCACCCTCACGCAACACTCTGCGTCCTCCTTGTTCTTCCCAAATAGTTAAACATTCTGCAGAAGAAATAAAAACTCAACACACATACTTCAAATAGATGAAGCGGTAAGACTTAAGAAGGGATCTTATTTGGACTGGTTTACAGAGACTCAAGAGTTTGATTGAAGTTTATTATTTTTAAGAAGAGATCTCTAATCAGTACAATTTTGATACATTTTATATAAAAGACTAATTAGAAATGTAAACATTTTTTATACCAGAAGAACCATTTTAGTCCTAACTGCAAATCCCTAAACTGCAAACCTACAAACTTCAGATCTTGAACACATTCGTGTTTTTATATATCTTTTTTTTTTTAATTATTATTATTCGCTGAAACCGGTTTGGCTCAGTGGATAGAGCATCAGCCTGCGGACTGAAAGTTTCAGGTTCGATTTCGGTTAAGGGCATGTACCTCAGTTGCGGGCACATCCCCAGTAGGGGGTGTGCAAGAGGCAGCTGATCGATGATTCTCTCTCATTGATATTTCAAACTCTCTATCCCTCTCTCTTCCTCTCTGTAAAAAATCAATAAAATATATATTTTTGAAAATTATCATTCACTTCACAGAGGAAGGGAGAGGGATAGATAAAAACATCAATGATGACAGAGAATCACTGATCGGCTGCCTCCTGCACATCCCCCACTGGGGATTGAGCCTGCAACCTGGGAATCGAACTGTGAGCTCTTGGTTCATCGGTCAATGCTCAACCACTGAGCCATGCTGGCCGGGCTTGTGTTGTTGTTTAACATATTTTATTGTGATAGTATCACAGATATCTCCCATTCCCACCTCCTCTACCCCCTCCTCCTAGTATTCGTGTTGTTTTTTTAAAATATGTCAATGCACTTAAAATTCCCTTTACATGCCTAACTTTGTGTAACAGTTTTATTAAAATCTCTAATAACGAAATGAGCACTATAACACCCAATATAATCAACATGAAGACATTTATATCATTACCCTAGCCATGTGCTTCCGTCATTAGAGCTGGGCTTGCACACGGAAGGGTTCCAATTCCAGTCAAGGGCACACCTCCAGACACATCAATGTTTTTCTCTCTCTCCTCCCTCCCTTCCATCCACTCTCTAAAAATCCAGGGGAAAAATGTCCTCGGGTGGATTAACAATAATGATACTTGTGCCTGAGGGGGTGGAGGAGGTCAGGAGTGGGCTACCAGAGGTTAATGGAGGGAAAAAAGAATCTATGTAATACTTTCAACAATAAAGATTTTAAATAATAGCTGAAACCGGTTTGGCTCAATGGATAGAGCATCGGCCTGGGGACTGAAAGGTCCCGGGTTCGATTCCGGGCAAGGGCATGTACCTTGGTTGCGGGCACATCCCCAGTAGGGGGTGTGCAAGAGGCAGCTGATTGATGATTCTCTCTCATCGATGTTTCTAACTCTCTATCACTCTCTCTTCCTCTGTAAAAAAATCAATAAAATATATTTTTTAAAAGATTTTAAATAATAATCTTTGTGTCATTAATTACAGTATTGATTTAACATGAGAAAAAGTGGCTCTGAAACTGAGGGTATGCACTATAGGATTGTTAGCTCACAGACAGGACTTATTAAGCATTTATGTAGAACGTTTATATTTGCCAAGTGCTTCATAATCATTTTTTATTATTGATTTCAGAGAGGAAGGGAGAGGGAGAGATAGAAACATCAATGAGAGAGAGAACCATTGATCGGCTGCCTCCTGCACACCCCCCACTGGGGATCAAGCCCATAACTGGAGCATGTGCCCTTGACCGGAATGGAACCTGGAACCCTTCAGTCTGCAGGCCGTCGTTCTATCCACTGGGCCAAACCAGCTAGGGCTCATAAGCACTTTTATTAGTCGTTTCTAATCCAAAACAATCCATAAAATACTTTTCAGAAAAGAAATCTTGGACCAGAAAATAACCAATTTTACTCTGGAAAAACACCATTCTCTTACAATGTGCCAGATCCTCTGATCACTTCTCATTTACAGTACACATTTAGCAGAAACAAGTTATTAATAATGTGAAAGAGATCGAGGAACTATTGAATTCTCTCGAACAAATTGTAGACTGCTTCAAAACACTTCAGTACTTGGGACTAACTACTACATTTCGAGATATAGACACAACCACCAGGAAGTAAAGTTCTCCCAAAGGCCAAACTTAAAGTGGCTAATATAATGGTGTTATTTTTCAAACATGCTTTAAAAAGTTTTTTAGCCCTAGCTGGTTTGGCTCAGTGGACTTGCTGATTGAAGTCCGGGGTTCGATTCCGGTCAAGGGCACAGGCCCGGGTCCTGGGCTTAATCCCCATTGAAGTGCGTGCAGGAGGCAGCCGATCCCTGATTCTCTCTCATCATTGTTTATCCCTCTCCCTTTCTCTCTGAAATCAATAAAAAATATATTTTAAAAAATATTTTAACAGGTAATCCAAGCAGCCCGTGGGGCAGGCGTGTTCAGGTGCCTAGGCAGGAGGCAAGTCCGTTACACAAAGCAGAAGCAGCGGGAGGAAGTGGAGCGGCTCCCGGCAGCTCCGCTCGCGCGGCCGGCGCCTCCCCGGCCCGGGCAGCAGGGGCCGCGGGCCGCGCACAGGTGTGCCCGCGGGCAGCGCAGGTCCCGAGGACACCGCCGGGCCGGCGCGGGGAGGCCCGGGAAACGCCGATCCTCCCATCTCGCTGTTTCCCGTCCGGAGAAAGGAAGCTCCGGGAGCCGAGGCCAGGTGCCGGCGGGGAGGTCCCACCGCGGCCTCTCCAGCCGAGCGGCTCCCCGCGGACCCGAGCCACTTCCCCCGCCCGCCCCGCCCCGCCCGGAGCCCGCGACCCACGTCCCCGCGCCCTGCGGCGCCCAGACGCGCACCCACTGCACTTCCGCCCGCGGCTCCCCGCCAACCTGCACCCGGCCCTTTGTCTCCCACGCCGCACGCACCCCCGCGCCCCCGCAGCCGCCCCCCCGCGCTCCCGCCCCGCGACCCCGGCCCCGCGGCTCCCGCCGGCGCCGCCCCGCCGCGCCTGACAGGCCCCTCCCCCGCTTCCCGTTTCCTCAGCGCCGGCCCACGCCCACGCCCCCCGCCCGGCGCCGGCCTCACCTTGTCCATGAGCTTCCAGCATTTCTCCACCATCTTCTTGTCCACGGCGCTCGGCGGGTGGGGGCCGAGGTGGTGGTGGTGGTGCGGCTGGAAGGCGTCCTTCATGAGCCCGATCAGACCGCCCGGGCCCGAGCCCCCGGAGCCGCCGCCGCCCCCGGGCCCCGCGTTCTTCTTCACATTGCCGGCCATGGCCGCGGGCGCGGGGCGCGGGGCGCGGGGCCCGGCCGCCGGCTCCTCAGGGTGGCGAGCGGGACGCGGGAGGGCGCGCGGGGCCTCGCCCAGCCGCGGCGTCGGCGCAGGGAGCGCGGCGCAGGGAGGGCGGTGTCGGCGCCGAGGGGTCCGCCGGGCTCGGAGACCCGGCGTCCTCGTCCGCACGGGCCAGCGACCCCGCGCCGCCCGCTCGCGGCCAGCAGCCAAGCCGAGCGCCGTCCGCACCTCCGCCGCCTCCTCGCCCGGCGGCCGGTGGGCGGGGCGCGGGAGAGGCCGCGGGGCGGGGCGGGCGGCGGGGCGGGGCCAGGAGGCGGGGCGGGGCCTGGCGGTAAGGGGCGGGGCCTGGTCTGAGTCTGCGCACTGGACACGGCCGGCCGCGCGGGTCCCCGCGGGCTGCTCGTTGGGCGCTGGGCGAGTGGGTCCTGGGACCTTGGCCGTGGGTCGCAGTAGGAAGAACCCGAATTCAAGTCAGGAGCCCCGGGCCGACAAAGGAGGAAGTGGCTCCTCCCGCGATGGGAGGAAGGGAAGGAAGCGACGCCCGCGCCAAGAAGGTAGCGATGAGTTCCACACTCCTCCCCAGGTGGCCGCGGACGCACTAGAACGCTGCGCATCGTTGGAACCTGACTGGACCCCAGAAAAAGGCTGAGACAGGCGCGCCGTGAGCTTTCTTCCAGCAAGCCCTTTGACCTCTGAAAACAAAACACTGTCGATTCCCCCCTTTTTTGGCTTCTGAACACAAGTTCCTTTCCTGGGAACTGAGTATGTGCTTAAGATCCCCTGCTCAGCGCCTTGCACCGCGGCGCCCACAGATCCTCCAAGGCTGGGGCCGGTCCGAGGGGTCCGCGCAGCTCCCAGTCACTTCCCCTTTTCTAATCTAAGAGTTCCGAAGGAAGAACTTTGAAAAAAGGAACTTCCCTCCCAAAGGAGGAAGTGCCCTGCCCCAATTTGCTAATTCTGAGCCTCCTCTTGGGGAACTTGCAGACGCTGGTGTGACAATAAGTACTCAGTTCCACCTTAGAGCCTCCGCCTGGCTCTTCCACAAACCCTTGCCTGTTCTCGAATTGAGCTGATCAAGTACTCCTGCATATCAGGGAAAATCTAACTCCAGGGCCTTCAGCCCGCAGTTCAAAGGCCTTGCTGGAAGGTTGAGTATGAAGTCAACAGTGTCATTTCCTCCAGAGAATTTCCTTTGATAAGTTCTTATCTAGAAAGTTAGGGCACTCTCCCAAGGGAGAGTCTAGGCAAAGCTCTGAGATAATGGGCAAAGCTTAGCATCCTAGTGCCCACCCTGTGCCAGGCCCTCCTCCTCTCCCTGGCCTACTGACATCTTTCTCACTCCGGTTGTCCTGCTGCCTCCCGTCCATCCTGTCCCAGCCAAGCCTTCTAAATATGGTTCTGACAGCATCACCAAAAAAAACGTTAAATGCTCCCCATTCCTCCTGAATGAAGTTAAGAGCTAACTCCAAAGTACCTGGCAGTTTTTACACTGTTCCAATACATGGACCTGTGCTGAGTAGTCACAAAATACCACAATTCTTTCCTTTCCTTCATAACCATTACTCAGGGAGCTGGAGGCACTGCTCACCCACACAGAGGTGTTCCTGGACAGCCCTGAGTCCGTGGGAGGGGTCCCCAGCCTTAGTCCTTCCCATATAAATGAATTTATGCCAGAGGTCGTGACTGCATTTTGAAAAGCCAATTTATTACAGCAGATGGAGCATGCAGCCTTATTGAAAAAGCAAAGCAAGCAGACCGATACATCTGAAGTGCAGACGGGCTCTTAGCTGGGGGTCCAGTAGGTCTCAGAATTCCTTTGCTGGATACTTTGGTGCAGATGAATTCTCACGGTCCCTGTTTACCTTGCTGTGGGCTTCCCAGAATTCCTGAGAAGCACTTGCACTTTACCTTGCCCCTGGGGACTCCTGGTTTCTCTGCCTAGGAAGTAACTGGCCCTTAGTCCAATTCCCCTCTCCCCTCCTCTGCATCCTCTCCATAAGGAGGTGTGTATTTATTTATTTATTTATTATTTAATCTTTATTGTTCAGATTATTACAGTTGTTCCTCTTTTTTACCCCCATAGCTCCCCCTTCCACCTAGTTCTCACCTCACCCCCTGCCCTTACCCCCCCATCCCATTGTCCTCATCCATAGGTGTACGATTTTTGTCCAGTCTCTTCCTACACCCCCTACACCTCTTTCCCCCCAAGAATTGTCTGTCCACTGCCTTTCTATACCCCTCATTCTATTATATTCACCAGTTTATTCTATTCATCAGATTTTTTATTCCCTTGATTTTTAGATTCACTTGTTGATAAATATGTATTTGTTGTTCATAATTTTTATCTTTACCTTTTTCTTCTTCTTCCTCTTCTTAAAGAATACCTTTCAGCATTTCATATAATACTGGTTTGGTGGTGATGAACTCCTTTAGCTTTTTCTTATCTGTGAAGCTCTTTATCTGTCCTTCAATTCTGAATGATAACTTTGCTAAGTAAAGTAATCTTGGTTCTTGCTATTCATCACTTTGACTATTTCTTGCCACGCCCTTCTGGCCTGCATAGTTTCTATTGAGAAATCAGCTAACAGTTGTATGGGTACTCCCTTGTAGGTAACTATAACTATTTTTCTCTTGCTGCTTTTAATATTCTCTGTTTGTCTTTTTCCTTTGGCATTTTAATTATGATGTGTCCTGGTGTGGTCCTCTTTGGATTCCTTTTGTTTGGGATTCTCTGAGCTTCCTGGACTTGTAAGTCTATTTCTTTCACTAGGTGGGGGAAGTTTTCTATCATTATTTCTTCAAAAAGATTTTCAGTATCTTGTTCTCTCTCTTCTTCTGGTACCCCTATAATTTGGATGTTCATAAACTTGAAATTATCCCAGAGGCTCCTTACACTATCTTCATTTTTTTAATTCTTTTTTCTTTTTCTTTTCCACTTGAGTGTTCTTTGCTTCTTTATATTTCAAGCCTTTGACTTGATTCTTGCAATCCTCTAGTCTGCTGTTGGATCTCTGAATATTATTTTTTATTTCAGTCAGTGTATGCTTAATTTCTAGTTGGTCCTTTTGCATATCCTCAAGGGTCTCACTAAATTTATCAGCCTTTTGTAGAAAATTTGTGAAAAGCTTCATAACTGGCTTTGAACTCTATACCCAGTAGTTTGCTTTCCTCCATTTGTCATTTGTGACCTGTTTCTTTGTCTCCGCATTTTGGCTGCTTCCCTGAGTTGATAGAGTGGCTTTGTGTGCGAGGTGTCCTATAGGGCCCAGTGGCTCAGCCTCCCAGTTACCTGAGGTAGACACTCTTGGTGAACCCTTTTGTGGGCTGTGTGCACAGTCTTGTTGTAGCTAAGCCTTCATTGTTGTTGGTATCACTGGGAGGAATTGACTGTGTCTACACAATCAGTTGTGTCTACAATGGGAGAACTTCTGTGCTGGAGACACCCTTATGAGGCAAGACTTGCTTCAGTGGGGCTTTGTTGCTCACTGAGTCTGTCCCCTGAGTGTGTCCCTTATGGATCTGAGGAGTTGTAATCTGGATGGTCCCACTCTGACCACTGGGTACACTGGCTCTTGGATCTACAAGGAGGTGCAAATTTAGCCTCTGCATGAGGCCACTCAGCAGGAGCTACAGAGAAATCTGTCGATTCCTCTTCTTTCTTTGGGGTTTGGAGGTGCCCAGATGAGGCCCAGCTGTGAAGCAGTGCAAGCTGCTGTGGGCCTTGGGCCTTTTTTTGAATGTTCTGGGTCTCACTGACTCAGCTGCAGTTTGATAGGTAAATTTAGATTTCAAAGGACCAGGTCATTCATATGCAAAAGCCTCTGCTCTTTTTGGATGGGGCAGAACAAATAGCAATTGCTTCCTATAAGGCCTGCCCTATGAGACCCCTGGGTCTCAGTGTCCCTTGGTAATTTCTGCAAGCACCTCTGAGAGGAAGCCGCCCTCAATTTCCACCCGCTGCCAGATAGTCCAGTTTCTTCCCATGTGAGTCGGGTCCCCAGAGTCTCACTCAGAACTGGAGTTCAGAGCAGTCAGGAGTTTGTGTCTCCCTGTGGATTGAAGCCATCCGTGTACTCAGTTGCCAGCCCTCTCCTTGCTCACACGGCTCCATACCTCTGCCTTTACTTCTGCAGCTCTTCTGAGTGTCAGTGTGCTTTTCTCTTTGCTTCTAGTTGTAGAATTTCTGTGTACCTCCTGTGGTTCTGGATGATGTCAGTTTTGTCTTGTAGTTGTAGTTTTGAAGTGGTTGTATGAGGCAACAAGTTCAGGTGTTTACCTATGCTGCCATCTTGGTTCCCCCATAGAGAGGTGTCTAACCATTTGCTCTGTGTCCTTGGCTGGGAAGCTAGTGACTTATTAGTTCTAGACCAGCTACAAATTGCCCACAGGGTTTGGCCTTGCTTTCACATTCCTGTCTCAGTGTCCCTATCCTCCTGCCTGCAACCCTATAACACCTCTAAGGTGTGCTGCCAAAATCAAATCCATTCTTTAAAAATCACTCCCAATAGTGTCCTTACCAGACACTACAGCAAGAAATGATCCTTCTCTTTGTTAACATAAAAGAGCATTCAAGCCTATAAAGAATTGTTTGTGTGTTTATTTTTTAAATATATTTTTATTGATTTCAGAGAGGAAAGAAGAAGGAAAGAGAGATAGAAACATCAATGATGAGAGAGAATCACTGATTGGCTGTTTCCTGAACACCCCTACTGATGATTGAGCCTGCAACCCAGGCATGTGTCCTTGACCAGAATTGAACCTGGGACCCTTCAGTCCATAGGCCAATGCTCTATCCACTGAGCCAAACAGGCTAGGGCTTGTGTGTTTACTTGAGCCAAACTGTTCACAATTGCCAGGAAGCAGAATGTCAACGCATTGGGATAATGCTCTGGAGAATGGTGGTTTTTACCTTGCTTTTATGAATGACCATCAAAGGAAGAGATGTAAGTGGGTTACAGGAAGCCCATTGGTGACAGATTAGG